GGCACACGACCGGCGCGCCGGAACGCGCCTGCAGCCACAGCAGCGCGTTGAGCAGCGCGGCCGCAAAACAGGCACTGTCTGCGTCGTCTACTACACATTTATGGGCTGGGATTTCAGCAATCTTTTGCATAATTACTCGAAAACTCTGTTTTCGGCTGTAATTAATTTTCAGATTTTTTGTGTCGCCGCCTGAGTAATGAGCAGCGAATTCAATGCAAGTCGCATTAAGACGGTCTACTACGATGACCGCAAGCGCGAGAAGATCATTCTAGAAAGCTACTGCAGCGAAAACAAGGACGCTGGCCCTTGCGACGCCGAGCCGGCGACGTGCTCTTGCGCTGGCTGCGCCGACAGCGACTGCTGCGCGTGCTGCAGCTGCTGCGTCGAGCCGCCGAAGGCAGCGACCAAACAGCCGAAGCGCAGCGCCACCGACGCGCAGCTGCTGCGGTCGACGCCGGCCGCGTCGTCGCAAGACGTGCGTTCGGAGGACGACTCCAACATTCACCAACACTACGTCGAGCGCATTTGCAACGTATGCTACATGCACTACTCGATCCCAAAGTCGTTGACGGCCGAGGCGTTTTTGCTGCCCTGCGGCCACACTATCGCGAACTACGTCCAGAAGAACGTTGTCAAGCTAGAACCGACAGGGCAAGTCGCGCACGCGCAGACTGCGGTGCCGCTGTCGGCGCCAGTCGCACAGCCGGCGAGCGCGCCCGCAATTAGTCCGGTGCAGCCCACGTGTCCCGTGTCGTTCGTGCAGCCGCAGCCGTTCGGCGTGTCTGCGGCGCCGCCTATGGCGTTGCGCTACGTGCCCGCGGCCGCGCCAGCGTACTACGCCGTCGGCTCGCAGCCGCTTCAGTACCAGCCCGTCGTGCACCAGGCGCAGCCGCTCAACTACGTCAGTGCCGCGCCGCACTCCTACGTGGGCGCGGTTCCGGGCTTCGTGCCGCAGGCGGGCTACGTGCAGCAGCCCCTCGGTTTCTACCCGGAGCCGCGCGGTGCTCTGCCGATGGTTGCGCGCGTGTCGAAGTCTGCGCACAAAGGCATCTCCGGCTACGTCAAGCTGCAAGTGCCCGGCGTCGGCCCGGTGGACGTGCCGTTCACCGTCACGCAAAACGGCGAATCCAAACGCAAGTAGCGCTCGCGTCCGCAGCTTTTGATTTGTCTGTGCGTACAAACGTCGTAATTCGGCGTCCCGCTGCAGCGCCTCGCCGCCGCGCGAAAATCTTGCTGTGCGCCTGCGTTACGTGCCGACGATGCACGCAGCGCTGCATGTTGCGCAAATTTATTTTATCGAAATCGTTGTCTGGACCGCGAACGCACTGAAAGCTGAACTACTATGCGCTCCTACCCTGCCAAAGACCACCTATCTTCCAGTTTGCTCCGCGAGTGCTCGGGCCTGGCGGACGTCAACTTGATCTTGGAGTCGGACGAAAAGCGGATCGATAAATCGAAGCTGCCGTTCGGGATCAAGACGTTCAGTTCGAGCGCGTCCGGCGCGGAGGGCATCACGCTCGGACCGGTGGTCGGGCTGGTCACCGACCACAGCGTGCGCATCCTTGTGCAAACGAACTGCGACTGCGAGCTCGAACTGCGCCTCTGCGGGCGGGACGCCGCCCGGCGCGAGGAACACATCGTCGCGCCAGTTAAGAAAGCCGCTGCCGCGAACGTGCCGCTGATTTTCGAAGTGCTAAACTTGCGCCCGAACTATCAGTACAGCGTGCTGTTCAACTTCCCCGCGTTCGACCTGGTGAACTCTGGTTTCTGGACGCTGCCGAACAACAGCAACCTGGCCGACGATCCGATCAAGTTCGCGGTAGTCAGCGGCAACGAACTGGTCTACGTCAACGAGAAGCCGTACGCCGCTGCGCGCGACGACTTGCAGGTGCACAAGCCCACGCACAGCACTGACGAGAGTCTCTGGAAAGACCTGTACTTCCGCATCCAGCAAGAGCGCATCCACTACGTCATCCACATTGGCAACAACATCGACGTCGGCTACACGTCCTCGAGTCTCGGCGCGACCAAGTCCATCTTCGCGGAGTGCAGCGAGGAAAACCTCTCGGTCGAGGAAGCTGTGCGCCGCATCAGCCAGCGCTACCTGGAGGTGTGGAACGAGCCGTACACCAAGCACGTGCTCGCGAACAGCTCGAACATCATGCTGCTCAATGAGTCCGACATCGGCAAAATCGTGAAGCTCGTGAAGTCGCAGCTCAAGCAGGCCGACTACCGCGTCGCGGAAGCCGCGTTTTTCTGCTACCAAATGTACCAACAGGCGCTCGCGTTCAATGTCATGCAGAACAACCGACCGAAGCTGCAGACCAACTACATTTCGCTCACGCAGAACTTGAAGCTGTTGCTCGTCGACTGGCGCGTGTATCCCACGTTCTACGACATCCAGCAAAACGAGCACACGCTCATCGGCGAGCTCGGCTTCGACATCATTCAAAACGGGCTCGACGCCTCCGGCGAAGTGCGCTCCGAAGACCAGCTGCACACGCAGTTCGCGAAGTCTTGCCAAGTGTTGGTGCTCTCGTCGCTGCAAATCTGCAACAAGCACGAGTACATCCACGCGCCAGAGTACAGCGCAGAGTCGCAGCAGCTGCTCGCACTGCTCTTCGACTGGCTGCAGCGCGGCCCAAAGAACTCGCGCTCGATCAGCATCATTAGCGGCGCCTCGCAGGCCGCCGGCTTGGTCGGTTGCATTGGGCGCATCGTGGACCCGCAGTCTGGCCATAGCATTTCTGAGTGGGTGGTTGGACCGGTCTCCGCGCCGCCACACAAGAAACTTGCGAGCACCAAGTTCCGCAGCGGGCGCTTCGCGTTTTGTCTGAAGAAACAGATCGCCTTTAACAACTACGCAGTCGTGTGCTGCAGCCTCGAGTTCGACAGCACCGAGCGCAAAGAGGACGCCGACATTCACGGCACCTTCGTCATCGCGAAGCCGGTCGCGCGCATCCAGTACTACCTGACGACGCAGGCGAAGAGACCCGTGTGCCTCTCCGACGTTGGAAAGGGCAAAAAGCTGCTGCTGCGCCCGAGACAGCAAGACAGCACGCAGCTGCAGGTTTAACGCCGCACGGCCCGTTGTCACGCGCTACGCGCGCGCAGCGCGGACCGAAAGAGTGATTGCATCTTTTCGTACGTTCGCTACAACAACAAGTGGAGACTGTTTGTCAGTTCTCTGTAATAGTTGTTCGGGTCGTCGCTGCGCTCGAGCGCGCTGCTGCTCGCGTGCGCCGCGGCCAGCGGCGCGCGCAGTTGCAGCGCGAGTTCCGAGCTGCGTGGCGCATTGAAAAACCTACTACTCACGCGCCAAACAGAGCAGCGCGCCGCAGCGCACGCGTCGGCCCTGGTACACCGCGTCGTAGGCGAGCAGCAGCGGCAGTGGCTCCGCTGCGCGCGCACGTGCGCTGTGCCGGAACGCGTTGCGCTCCGTGAATAGCTCAACCTCGTACAAGTCGAAGCGAAACGCGGTCGGCACGTCGCAGTCAAGCAGCAGCTTGCGCAGTTGCGGTTGAGCAGCGGCTGTGTCGGAAACGAGGCGTGCCAGCGCGAGCACGAGTTCTGCAGAGGCGCGCGACTCTGCCGCCGCGCTTGTCAGCGATCCGCGGCGCAGGCCGCGGCAGACGCCAAGTACGCAAAAGCTGAAATGCAGAGCGACGAATCGCGCAAGTTGCGCAAACTCGCGCGGCGACTTGTCGGCGGCCAGTTCACCGCTCCCGCCGCCGGGCAGCGCAGCGAGATGGCTTGCGTACGTACGCAGAATGCAACAAACCAGCTCGACGGTGGCTGGCGCGTAAGCGAACTGCGTCGAGAGTTGCGCCAGTGCGACTGGCGCGACGGACGCGGCCAGCGCGACGGACGCCGGGTCGATCGCGAAAAAGTGCGCGCCCGCCGCGCGCGCGCTGGCGCGCGCAGCCCTGCTCGCTTGCGAGCCGACCAGGTCCGAGAGCAGCAGCAGCAACAGGCTGAGCGCGCCCTGGACCTCAGCGTCCTGCGCGCTCGAAGCAGTGCGCGCCGCGCTGTTTTCGCTCCAGAGTTCGTTCAGCAACACCGCGTTTGGCTCCTGCGCTGCGCGTTCCATCCGCGCGGAATCTCCCGGCGCTGAGCTCTCGGATGAGAGGCAGGCTGAGAAAAGCACGGCTAGCGCAGAACAACGCGCCGGCGCGCCTGCCGGCGCGTCGCTCGGTTTGGAAACGACCTTGCCCGATTCGCCGCCGGCAGCGGCGCGATTCGCGACGGCTTCGCCGCGCACTAGCAGCGCGAAACAAAACGGCGTTGCAGCGAGATGCACGCAGCGCAGCAGCTCGCATAACCGTGAAACAGACCTGAGTGTCTGTCGCGCGGACTTACAGCAGCGTCTCGTCGGCCAGCCGCGCGACGTGCGCCAACAACGCTCTGTGCGGCTGAAGCTGCTCCTCGGTCACCCCCAGCAGCGCGAAGTTCTTGCTCGGCGGCGCCTTCGAGAGTTGGTGTCTGAGCAACTCGAACTGCTGAAACTGCTGCCAGAACGCGGGCGGTAGCACGCCCCGCAAAGCGCGCGGGAACGCGTAAAACAGCGACGCGCTCGCGGCGCGCCCGCAGTCCATCAGTCCGAAAAAACGCAGGTATCTGGCATATAAATTAAGAAATCGAAAAGCTGCGGAATGAGGCGCGGCACGAAGTCTCCGCGGATGCGCATGCTCTGCACTGCGCCCAAACAAAAAAAGAAAACACCTGTCTAAGGCGTAATTTCAAAGCCGAACATTTCTTTGCTTTCTTTGCTCAGTGTAAGTTGTACCTTGTCAACGAAGTCTCGCAAGTCCTTTAGTGCCTTTAGGCTTAAGCTCTTGAGCATTTTTTGCTTGAATTTAAATTTGTCGGAGCCCACGAATTGCAACGTACGTGATATCTGCGCTGATGTGCTAATGTTCTGCATGAAGTCGGGTGTAGTAACCAGCGACTTGTTTTCGAAAATTTTTTTCACAAGCTCTTCATGTTTTTTAATACCGCAGAGGCAGACAATGTTGAATACATCGTTGTGATCGATGCTTGTCTGACTCCAATTCGCGTCGGACACCAAAACTTGGTCGCAGGGCAACAAGAACCAGATGCTGTTCTGTTTCTGCTTTACGCAGGGTAGTATTTTGTGTCTGTAACTAGAAGAAGTCTTCGTCGGTTTCCCTTCATGACTCTTCTTGTTTATTTCGTTGAGCACGACATAGAACTTGGAGATCATTTGTTTGAAGAGATCGCTGAGTCTCAACAACTTGCAGCCTAACTTCAAGTGCGCATCAAGGTTGTTTTTCGCGTTCCAAAGCTGCCCGAGGAACTTGATCTGCGCGTCGTCGAGAACCAGGCGCAGATAGCGGTTGTACAGACGCGCGCGTGAGACGTCCGCAAGAGCGTCGTTGTCGCACTGTTTGCTTTTCTGCAGCTTCGACAGCAGCTGCGCTACGTACTCCTCGTATTTTCGCGCAGTGGAGCGCGCGATGTCTGGCGCGACGCGCGACTCGTCAAACCACTCATCGAAACTTGGCGCGACAAGATCGTTGATGCTGAGGTTTTTCGCCGAGATGCTCTGGTCGAGGCTGTTGATTTTGTTGATGGCGCTGAGCAGCGTGCTCGTCAGCGCAGTTTCATTCGCGATCTGCTTAGGCGACGCCAGGACGCCTTGCTGGTTCAGCTGCGAGACGAACGAAGCGGGTGCGGCCTCGACCACGAATTTGCAAATCTGCTCGTACTCGCGGGGCAGGTTTTTCAGAAAGCGCTGCCAAGCCGTCGCGGCTTCGTTCAAAGCCGATGAAAGCGATTTGTAGTTGAAGAGCGGGTTTCTTAAAGGGCTTTGGTTAAATCTGTACAGATACTGCGTGTAGCGCTTCTCAACAGCCGTGGCCTGGTCTTCGGGAAAGTTCTTGAGCTTATTGCTTCGCGACAATTGCACCAACGCGTTTCGCAGCGAGCCTACCGCCTCGCTATCGGTAGGAATTAGTGGCTGGAGCTGCTTGAGCGAGTTAAGATCACACGCGATCGACAGCTCTAGGTCCAGCGTATTCTTGACCGCGCTGACGTCTTCGGCTTCGTTTTGCCTCAGATGCGCGGTAACCGCTCGGTAGAGCAGGTCGAAAAAAAACAACTGTTTCATAATGAACTCCATCAATTTTCTGTTAAACATCTGCGCGCCGGACTTTTGGATTGCGTCGCAAATGCGCTTGCGAGAGTCCTCGGTAGTCAAGTCTTCATCGGTGAAGGAGACTGCATTGCCGGACTTCAAATACTCGAGGTCTTTGGTGATGGTATTCGCGAAGCTCTTGACCGCTGCAGTGTAGAGATTCCGCAAACGTGGCGGCTGTTGCTTTGCTTCTTTCAGCACGCGGCGCTGTTCGGCAAGTTCTGATTCTGAAAGCCGCTCCTTTCTGTCAGAGAGCGAGACGTCCTGCGTGTCAAAGAAACGTCGGGTTCTCTGCTTCGGGTTCGAGCGAGACGCATTGCGCGTCGCGAGTCGGTCGGAATGCTGCGACGCGTCCGTCGGCAGATACGGGTTGTACCGCCCGCCGGTGTCGTACGCAGACGCGTGATGCGTGTTAAAGTCTGCGTTGTCGTTGTAAAGCGCGTCGTCTGGCTTAGGGTCGTAGTCATCGACAGGGATCGCGTAGATACTACCCATGCCGTAGCTCACCGGGTTAGTGAGGGAATCGGCCGGCCGCTGCGGGTGAACCTGCGCGGCTGTGGTGACAGGTTTCGCTTGCTGCGCGGATGGCTTCGAGCTGAGCAGGTGCTGGAAGATGAGCTCGCCGAGCGGTGAGAGCGCCGCGGCCAGCGACAGCACAAGTGTCGAAGATTGCGCACCGCAGTTTCGCCGTGCGCTGCGCAGCTGCCGAAAGCGATGCAAACGCGATGCCATTATTAAATTGAAAAATGTAATTCGATGCAAATAAGCGGCGCGCCTGTAACGCTGGAGTGCGGTCAGTGCGGCAGCGACACGATCAGTGCGATAGCGTGGTTCGACGATAACAAAGTTCAGAACCCGCTGATCGCCGCCAGCTGCTGGGACGGCTCCGTGTCCATTTGGGAAGTCGTCGTAAACCACGACTCGAACGTCTCGTACATTCGCGCCGACAATGCGAACGTCGTGGTGCACCAGCCGATTTGCGTAAACGGGCTCGTGCAGGTGAAGCTGCCGGGCCCTGCGCTGAGCACGGAGTTCGCTAACAACCAGACGCTGCTGGCAAGCTGCGCGGACGGCGGCGTGTACAGCGTGCAGCGCGCGGGCGGCGGGCCGACCGCGCTGTATCGGCACGAGGCGGCCGCTGTGAAAGTGCTCGTCAGCCGGAAGCACAATTTCGTGGCGTCCGTGGGGCTCGACCGGCAGCTGCTGGTGTTCGACCTCGCCTCGAATGCGGTCGGCGCGAAGCTGGCGTTGAGCGGCGTGCCGGTCGCCGCGGCGCTCAACGCGGACCACATCGTAGTGCTGCTGAGCAACGCGGACTTGCTCGTGTTCGCCGTTAAAGAGCTCGGCGCCGCGCCGAAGGTGATCAGCTCGCAAGAGTTCGGCATGCCGCCCGTCTGCCTCGCGCTGCAGCAGAACGGCACCTACGTGGGCATTGGCAGCAGCGAGGGCCGCGGGCGCTGCCTGTGCATTGCCGGCGTGCGAAACCCGTTCTACTTCCGCGCGCACCGCCTCACTGACTCGGGCAGCATGGCGACCACGCAGACTGCGACGGACAAGACCTACTGCCACATGATCAACGCGTGCGACTTCCACGACGCGACCGGCGTCTACGCGACCGGTGGCGGCGACGGCTACATCCACACGTGGAACTTCATCACGCGGCAGCGACTTACCTCGCTCGAAAAGCAGCTCTACGCCGTCACTGCGCTGAAGTTTGCGTCGAACCACGGGCTGCTCGCCTACGCAATCGGCGACGACTACGCGAAGGGCGCGAACGGCAAACTGATGTGTGCGCCCAAGCTGTTTGTTCGCGTCGTGGACGAGAGCATGTTCATGGGCCGCAAGAAACTCTAGTCACGCCTCCGCGGAGTAGCGGCCGGTCGCTGCGTCGAACCACAGCCGGAACGGCAGCGCGTCCGCGTTTGCGCCGCGCCGCGCCGCGGGATACGTTTTGACGGGCACCGCCGCTGGCTCGCGGCACACGCGCGCCTCCGCGTCGGCCTCGCGGTACAGCAACGCGCAGAAGTATTTTTTGTACTCGCTGGTCAGGTACGCCGCCAGCGAATCGCTCGCCGCGACCCACTCACGGAAATTCTTCAGCAGATTGCGCCGCGTGCAGCTTTGTGGCTCGCCGTAGCAGCGCCGAAGCAGCGCCGTGTTCAGCTCGCGCTGCAGCTCGCGCAGCTCGTCGCGCAGCTCATCGCTTTCCCATTGGCCTTCACTCAGCGCGCTCTCGACCGTCGCGCCCTGCAGATCCGCGGAGAGCGTGTCACTCGCGCTGCGAATCCCTGCAGCTGCGCGCTTCTCTGGGATCGCATCTTCGCTGCTTGCGGTCGGCTGGGTGCTGCTAGCTGTCGCGAGTGCTGTGCTGGCCGAGCTGGCAGAGCCTGCCGAATCTGCGGCGCTCGTGGCAGCGTTCGAGTCGTTTCCGGCTGTTCCAGCAGCCTCCGTGTTTTCGCTTCTAGTAGATATTTCACTTTGCAGTGTCCCAGTGCTTGCGGACGCGGCGCTGCTGACGGCCTCGAAGCGCGTTCGAGCTGCGTCAAGCCTGCTGCTTGACGTTCCGCTTGTGTTCGCGCGGCTGAGCGCTTCTGAGCTAGTTGGCGCCGCAGTCGTTGCGTTGATGCGTGTCACCGGGACGGTTTTTTCAGCCGCAAGGGTCTGCGCAGCGCTCGCGCTCTGCAAGGTCGCCGCTGCAGAGTCGCTTCGGTTCGCACTCGAATAGCCGGAAGCCCTGGCTTGGACAGTTGCGCTGCTCGCGAAGCGAGCGTCCATAGCGCCGTTGCGAGCAAGATTCACGCTCGAGACGCCTGCCACACGAGAGGCTGTCGTGCTCTCATCTTCACTTTTTCCGACCGCCGCTTTAGAAACAGAAGTGCTCGGAACCGCAGAGGCCGCGTCGCTATCGCCCCCCAAGTGCGGAGAAACAGTCGTCGAAGCCGCGGCTGAGCCAGCTGCGGTCGACAACTGCGCTAAAGCTGGCGAGCTGCCTTTCGTGCCGAGCGCAGAGGCAGCCTCTGTGACACCGTTAGCAGCAACAGTGGTGAGAACGGTCGTGGCGGCGGTCGTGGCAGCGGTCGTGGCAGCGGTCGTGGCGGCTGTCGTGGCAGCGGTCGTGGCAGCGGTCGTGGCAGCGGATTTGACGGCTGCTGCTGTCGGCGTCGCGGTAGTGCTTCTAACAGCCTTACTCTCGTCGACTCGAGACTTTGCGCGCATTGTAGTTGCGTTTGAGCCATCGGTGGTGGCTGCAGCTGTTGTGCTGCGGCTGGCGGACGTGTTCTGCTTCGTGCTCGCTGAGCCACGCTGCGGCGTTGAACTACTCTGCGTCGGTCCATTGACCCCTTTTCCACCGCCCTTCTCGTGAACGCGATAGCGCTTGGAAAACAGCGCGGGTGTCTCGTTCGCCGCGTCCGCCATCTGTGCAAACGCTTCGCCCACCCTGAAGCTCAGCACTGTATTCCACGCTATGTTCGAGTGCAGCAGCTCGAGCAGGTAGCTAAATCCAGACTGAGTGTACTCTTGCACGTCTACCTTCTCTCTAGGGTACACAGTCGGCAGGTCGGCATTTACCGCGTCAGGAAGCACAAGCGCGTCTGGGATTTGCAGCAAGTCTTCCGTTACCGCTTCCTCAAGCCGCCGTTTCGGCGCAGCCTGCGCGCCGCGGCAGCGAGTTGCGCAGCGAGTTGCGCAGCGAGTTGCGCAGCGAGGTTTGCAAGCGAGGCGCGCATCGCAGACCCGCGCACTGTGTCGCTGCAGAGGCGCCGCGAACGTCCACAGCTGCGGCTTTCGCGCCTGAACACTCGTTCTCGTCGCGAAACAGCGCGCGCGGCACTTTGCAGACCGCTGCCCACAACACTCA